AGTACTGCCGGTGCCGAACAGGGTAGGGGACGTAGTTTTCGAACCTGCGGTTTTGGCCGGCACCTTTTTTAGTTAGCTCTTTGATGCTTTCACCCTTGTATAGTTTTCTTGTAGATCACCGCTTATTAGTTTCTTTATTGTAAATTGTTGCTTCTTGTAGATTTACTTAGGACCGAGTGCGGCAGCCGCCGTCGACGAGGCCTGACCACGCCAAAAAAAGGTTCGAAATTGTCAGGATTTTGGTGGCTGTTGTGTGGGACCTCCAGAGTGCTGGGATATCTTCTTTAAGTTGTTCATTCATAGCTCAGCCACACCATTTTATGGCTGCTGCAGTTGTCTCAAAGTCTGCAGCAGATCAACTTACTCAAGCTGCAGTCGCTGTGGTGCCTGGCGAGAAAAAAGAGAAATTGTGACTTTCGCAACACTTGTTTGCGGCCGTCGGCCGTCCTTTGTGANNAAAAAGGGTGAAGAGCGGGGCCAAAAGCCGGCCCGGAATTCAGACTCGTTTTTGGAGCTTTGTAATATTGGCACAATTCCGGCAGGCTTAGAAAACGGTCCATTTTTGGGCCCGCATTTTTAGGTCGCTCAAAGCCACTTTTCGAGCTTATGATCTGGATGCGGATCAAGGAATACCGTCCAATTCTTCAGCAAGATGCAGCTGGACAGTTCCTAATGTTGCACGCAGTCACTGCTTGTCTTGAACACATCTTTGCTTCTTCAAAGAATCAAATTGCGGCATCTGTTCTTACCAATTGCAGCAGCAGCAGGAACTGCAGTGCAAATTTAGAAGCTGTCCCAATTATCGTTTTCGCCAAGAAGGGGAATTCTTCATCCAGTGATGCAGTGCTTCACGAATTGGCAAAAACACCAATATTTGCGATGAGCTGCATCTTCTGACTTGTCGCGGAGCAGCGAGATGGCACGATTATGCTCCAACCTTTTATCTCCATGAAAGATCTGGCGCAGGAGGATGCTGTGAAACAAGGCAAAGTTTACCAGTAGAAACGTTATTTGAGGTTGTGTTAGCTTTACATAATTTTGCATCACTTTTCCAACAACCATTCTTCAATAAGTTTGGGATTGTGTCGGTTGTTCCACCACAATAAAGTGCCTTGTGCCCGTTTTACTTTCACATGTTGCTTTTGGTTCAGTTTTCTGCTTCTTCGAACGTCCGTTTGGAATGGGATGCCATGCGCAAGCTTCGTGGGGCATCGCATTGTGCTGGCAGTTGCGTGTTTCGTGCGTTGCCGCAAGAAATTGAGGACTAGGAAGAAAGATGCCATTCAGAATTTCATCACCACGAATTTCGTGTGGTGTTCCGTGTTTTGTTGTTGCTCCGAAAAAAGTCCATACACGAAGCGTTGCACACGGGCATGAGTCCCAAAGCGACTGTAACATTGTGTTTCTATTCGTTTCGCGACACAGCTTTTGCACTTTTGTTTGGTTTTCACTGACCTCAGCACTCGGTCAAAGATTCGTTCGCATGTGCTCATGCCGTTGGTTGATGGATGCTGCAGCCCGACATGGCTGCATTATTGCCAGGAACATACTTTACGTTTTTGGTTCCCGTTGTGACCGCAAACGCAGTCCACATATTGTGTTGGAACAAACTGCACGTCGATGGCGTCGTAATCTCTGAGGCCACCAATTTCTTGAACCTACTTCCATGCAGCCGTTTCACAGGCACACGAGGCGCCCGATTGATTTCACAAAGCACACAGCCGCCGACCAGTATTCCAACACGTGTCAGCACTCTCCACACACCGGATGGCAGCGCCATCTCGCATTTTCCGGCATGGTCCACAGCACGACAAGATGTTCGTTGGTGCACCATTGCCTATGGACCTGCTAAGGTCTCGCTGATGATGGCTGTTTAATGGGGTCCAAGCCTCGATCCGGCATGCATGAAAGACAAAGACAGTGATTCCGCTTGGAAGTTTCGTTGAGGTGCTATGCTTCTGTGGAGGTTTCAGGAATACTCCCAGGCATTGGGCTGTAGTGCTTCGTCAAGGCTTTTGGCGCTGGGGCTTGTGGCTTTCGCTTCATCAGGCCCGCCCAGCGCTGCGGCCTCGCGATCCAAGGCGTGTTCTATCCCCTAAACCTTAACTCCTTAAGCCCTACACCCTGAAAGTTTCGAGTCGCTTCTCTGTTGTGTTTGCCGCTGTCAGGCTTCCTCGCCTCAGGCCGGGAAGATGTGTCGTTTCTGTGTTGCCCCCCAAGAACTCTGAACCCCAAATCCTGAATCCTAACCCCCTGATCAACATAGAACCGCCAGGAGCCCGAAGCCAGCCACAAAGAGCTGGAAGAGGCCCAGGCTCAGGTCATTCCGCCCAGGCCCGGCCCAGCCGGTTTGGTATTTAGAGTGTAACTTTTAGAGTTTGTTCCATTGCGAGTTGTGCACTGCAACATACAACAGACTTCCCCTAAGGCTATGTTCTCATGATTGAGGGCCCTGTATAGAATGGTTGGAGGCTGCCTGGCGAAGTGCCGGTGCCGCTGCCCGGCTGGCGTGTGGCCTGCAGGCCCTCACCCGCTTTTCCCTCCAGGGTGGCACGGCATTTCCTTGAAGGTCTCTGTTCTTATCTTTTCGATCATTCGTGCGTCTCATGTGAGTTTTACCGTTGGTATCTCCCCAGGCTCTCACCTGAAGATGCACGTTCTCGCTGGGGGAGCCGGCCACGTCCAGGAGGCCGTGGCGGCCGGCAGATCATTAGCAGCTGTACGCTGCTGGAGTCAGACTCAGCAACACTTGCTGCAATCACACCCCAAAGTCATTTTGAAAGCTTGAAGCGATGGCACCAGTACGAGAAACCCCCTCGAAAGTGTCCTTTTCCTGTTTTCGCCGACTTGGAGAGGTGGCCAGCCCACGGGCTTTGCTCAGCTTCAGGACGGCCCAAGCAACGAGGGCGAACTTCACAAGCACGCAGCGTGATGCTCTTGGATGTATGTGGAGGTCAGCGTGGAACCGGAAGGACCTTTGGAGTTCCCCGTGCAGTTGGCCTGATGCTGAACCTGCCGGTATTCCACGTCTTCCAGGTTTTCGTTTATAATCTGAGCCACGTGAAACGGAAACGGAGGTCCCGAGTTGGGTCGAGCCTGCTGTGGCCTCGCTTTTTGCCGGTCGCTACGAGGCTCGGATCGCTTTGCCGGCCCTTTGCCTGCGGTTTGCGATAGTTCAGTAGGTACAGCGGGCGCTGCCACGGCGGCCCTGGGTCTGTCCCCCAAAACGACGATGTTGTCATGTGCGGAGATCAGGTTCAGAAGAACTCACAGGTCCAGACTGTTCGCACCAAGCAGCATGGTCCCGGCATACTTTCAGCTGGTTCCGACAGCGGAAGCATCAGCTCAACGTCAGAACTCGTAGGGGAAGATGCAGGGATTCAATCATTCCCTATAAGCCTTCCTAAACTCCTAAAGCCTAAGCCTAGAGGGAAGAAGTCGTCCCAGGCCCATCAGCTCTTCGAGGCCGAGGGTCCGAAAAAGCTGAGCTCCGCCGGGCTGAGCCGATGTCAGGTCTTCGACCGCGAGGATTGCGTCTCCAGGGCCCTGGAGGCAAGGGCCTCCAAGATTGGGTCTTTTTTGGTTCCTTTCGGAAGTTCGGAACCCTGAAAAGGTCTTCGAGCTGTCTGGCACGGAAGAGGCGCAGAGGCAGCAGCTGAATGGAAGCATGGAGAGCCCTGGCGCGTCTCCTAGGGCTGCCCTTTTAATTGGAGGCTCACCCGTCGTCTGCAAATCGAATTTCTGGACGAGGAGGGCGGATTGTTTCTGAGGCAGGTGGCCTTCCGTCGTCGGGGGCATTGGCTTTGCTTGGCGATGAACTGCGATGACGCAGGTCTCGGCACGCCTTCCTCGGGCTGTCCGCGGGCCCGGTGTGGCTGTCAAGATGTTGCCTGATATTGGGACTCTCCAGGCCGAGCCATGTGGGTGTCGTGGAGGATCTCCACAAGGCGGCAGGAAAAGGTGTGAGGCGAGACCGCAAGTTTGGATTTGCCAGGCTTCTCTGTGGGAGGAGCTCGGCAGGCAGAGACCATGTTGCATGCGGCATCTGAGCAATGGAGGTGTCTAAGCCTTTTAAAGGGCAACTTTAGAAGGTGCGACTCCTCGTCGGGACGAGCCTGTTTTGTGCTCTTGGAAGCAGCGGCCGCTGCTTTGCGCGGCCTTCAGAGGCAGGGTTCTCTTTGCAAAATCCGGCGACCCCCTCCTCTATGCCGGACGACCGTTCGAATGAGCTTATTCCAGCCTCATTCGAA